AGACAGATTGAGTTCTTCACTGGTTGTTGGCTTCAGATGAGAAACAGCCCTGTAACACCTTGATTTTAGCCTGGTGAGATCTTAAGCAAAGAATCCAGTCACACTGTGCCCAAACTTCTCACCTACAGAAACTGTGAGATAATAAATCTGTGTTGTTTTAAGCTACTATGTGTATGATAATTTGTTGTGCAACAATAGAAAAGTAATAACAAACAGCTAGAAGAAGTTTCCCTTACCTCCCCAACCCCACTTGGGGTGAGAGCAACTGCTACTAGATCCCCAGACATCTTCCCTCTCTCTTTTAACCCAATCCTGTGGGAGCCCTTGTACTTTATCTTCCAGGAAGCCATGTCCCAGTCACCAATCTCAACTTCATCTCCCACACTGTCAAGAATAGTGAAGGGTCTGGGATTTTACCCTACTTGCAAGCTGACAATCTGGCCTGTTCTTGTTTTATAGATGCTGGTAGAAGAAACAAAACTCTTGGATCAGAGACAAAGGACTTCATTCTCATGGCAAAAGCAGAAGCCAGACTCCGTGTTGCTTTGCATCAATTCTCAGGTTCCCAGAGTCCCACAGGGCAGTATAGCTGAGGCCCAGGTGGATGCTAGTCACTGTGGGATTGCATTACAGCTGAGGAACACTGAGTTTGAGGAACTGACCACTTATATACTAAGCGGAAGCAAGACTGCTCTTTGTCCTGGGAGAGATGTTACCTCATTCTTCAATATTTTTCACTGTGAATGCAAACCAGGCGATGGTCTGGGAAAAGAGAGTGGTCACGGCCTTGCATCTTGACAACAAGAATATACTATAATGTTGGGGTGCCTGGGTGGCTTAGTTGGTTAAGCTTCCGACTTTCGTTTAGGTCATGATCTCACGGTTCGTGGGTTCGAGCCCCGCGTCGGGCTCTGTGCTGACTGCCAGCTCAGAGCCTGGAGCCTGTTTCAGAATATGAAACTCACTCTCTCTCTGACCCTCCCCTACTCATGCTGTCTCTCTCCTAGAAATAAATAAAACATTTAAAAAAAAATTAAAAAAAAAAAAGAATATACTATAATGCTCAAGGCCCAAGGTCCACAATCTCTACTAATAAAAGTTGAAGAATATAAGCACAAATAGTGAAATATTGACCTAAGAAAAAGAGAAAGTGAAAAAGGTAGAAAGTTTAAAATCTAAAAGAAATCAAGAGATTGAAAAGGTTGTAAATTTTTGCTTATTTATTTATTTTGAGAGAAAGAGAAGGAGTGAACAAGGGAGGAACAGAAAGAGAGGGAGAGAGAATCACAAGCAGGCTCCACGCTGCCAATGCAGAGCCCAACACAGGGCTTGAACTCACAAACCATGAGATCTTGACCTGAGACAAAATCCAGAGTTAGATGCTTACTGACTAAGCCATGAAGGTGCCCCTAAAAGGCTGTAATTTTTTAAATAAACAAAAAATATTCAATGTACAGATAGTAGAAGCTCCTGAAAAAAGAAAACCAAGGAAAAAGAACAGAACAACTACTAAAAATTAATAATCATAATAATCACTTTTCTGAAAAGATTTTTAAGACTTGAAACTTTACATTGAAACATCACACTGTGTGCCTGATGCTATCAACTTAGAATGATCAATATCAAGACATATTCTTGTAAAATTACCAAACTTAAAAAAAAAAACAAAAAAAATCCTTTGAGCTTTTTAGGCCAATGTCCATAATTTATAAAGGACAGAAAATCAATTAATCATTAGACTTTTGTAAAGGAAGAAATATATTTGTGATATGTAAGGAAAGAAAATGGGATTTTGTATTTAGTAAAATTCACCTTCAAAGGTAAAGAACAAAGTGTTTGAACATACAGGAATTTCAGAATTATTATTTCTATAAACCATTTCTAAAGAATCCATTGAAAAAAGACTTCTGATGAAGAAAATGACTAGAGACATGGATTACTCAAATTTTTTTGAATAAGAAATTCTTTATTAATAAGAAGTCACAATCAAAAGAGTTTAAAAAAGGAATCAATGTTAGAGGTCAGAAATATATATGTATGAATCTATAGCTCCATATTTACACCACAAAAGTTTAGTTCTATAGATTAATGTTAGTATCTTAAAGTAACTGACCGGTAGTAGGCTCAACACTAGTTTGATGGGCTTATTGTTAAAATATGCAATTGGAGAAGGGATGTTGATGTTTCCTAAAGATTTACCAGGACATGCTGTGCTGAGAGGGAGACATCTGAATGAGCAAGGGGAATGTGGTAGAAAATGAGACGGGAGAATGGCTTTTGCTCCGAATGGGGAAGGCTTGCTTTGAGAGGACCTTTGGCTTTTCTTCAAAGTGTGATGAAAAGTCATTGGAGGGTTTTGAGCAGGAGTGGGGCACCTATGGCCTGTAAAAGGGCTCTCAGACCCCTTTGTAAGGACTGGACTGTAATAGGGAAAGAGTAAAAACAGGCAGGCCAAAACATAAGGTTATTGCTTGGACCAGGCAAGAGATGAAGTTGAAGGTTATAGTAGTGGCAGTGGATAGAGAAAAATAAACCCAGGCAAGGAGAAGTTAATAGGTAGAATGGATAAGACTTGCTATCAGATTCTCTCTGAGGACAGTGCACAGGGACCTGTAAAGAATGATTCCCAGGTTTACTGAGACCTTAGACACTGCAGTAGGAGCAGATTTAGTGAATCAGAAGGATTATGATTTTATTTCGATACAGCCTGAGATTGTGGTACTTGTGAGCCTCCTAAAATTCAATGGTTCTTTGTAGATGTAAGTCTGGAACTCAGAATAGGGGTCTGAGGTAGAGATATAAAATGGCTTGTCATCAGCATATGGTGTATACCTTAAGCTGTAAGAATAGACCCAATTCTTCCTCAATCTCAGTGCATCAGAATTTAGCTTGTTCCCAGGTGCTCACTTACCCAAACTTGTTCTGAATCTGACTTTCTGTCTTCAAAGTCCATTCTAGATGAGATTGTTCCTAACTTCCCATCTTTTTGAACAACCAAGCCAAATGGAAGCCTTATTAAAAGTTAACCCTTGACAGAATGCTCCTGATACCATCCTCATAGCTGGGCTCTTGCCCCTTGAATGCCAAGAACCACAGTTGTATCTATTACCCACTTGTCTTTCTTGACCAGATGCCCTTTGTTGTATATGACTCCTTATGATGGAAGTTTCTGATGCCTACCCTAGCAAAAGGGCCAAGGCTGCACATCTGAAATTGTAAGCACTGCACAGGGTGTTAGTGCTTGATAGTTTCCAGAGCCTTAACAAATATGAGCTCCCTTTTTTCACAAACTGTAATATAATCCTAATACTGATCCTGTGAGATATGAAAATTATCCTCAACATCAGTATCTCACCCAAAATTACATAGCTGGCAAACAGCAAAATCAGGATTCGAGCCCATATGTGTGGCAAAATTAAGTCTGGGATTAAAGGAGGCGTCCTTTCCAGAACTCACTATTGGTGCTAAAGCAGAGTGGATACCTTAATATCTTTCCCAACTCCAGGGAAAATGGCTGTTTTATTTATTTATTTTTTTTTTAATTTTTTTTTTTTTATGTTTTATTTATTTCCAGGAGAGAGACAGACAGCGTGAGCAGGGGAGGGTCAGAGAGAGAGGGAGACACAGAATGAAACAGGCTCCAGGCTCTGAGCTGGCAGTCAGCACAGAGCCCGACGCGGGGCTCGAACCCACGAACCGCGAGATCATGACCTAAGCGAAAGTCGGTCGCTTAACCAACTAAGCCACCCAGGCACCCGGAAAATGGCTGTTTTAACTGACATTTTGTAATTGCACAGTAATGAGCAAGAAATTCCATCCTGCAAGCATGGGACTGAGTGGTGTCAGCAGCAAGACCAGTGCAGTGTCCCCTTAGACCCCTCCCTTCACCCATATGCGATCACCTCCAACAAGCTGTGTCTCTCTGTGCTTGAGTTTCTGGCTCACTCATGTCTCTGCAGCCACATGACCTGTTCTCTTCATAGTGTGACAAGCTGTTTGACATCTCTGTACTCTGACTTCCCTTTTCGTGCCTGTCCCTACTCACTTTTTCCAGCTAACACATTGCTAGTCCTCAAAGTTCACCTTCTTCAAGGAACCCTTCCCTGCTCAGGCAGTCAAATGTGAATGCCTTTCTAGATGTCCATTGCCAACTGTGCTTAATGTCCTTTTTGATCTCTTTAACTAGACTCCTACCTCTGTGAGGCCATTGACTGATGTCCTGGTTGCTTAGCATGTTTCCTCCTGGCATTTGATATATGCTTAGGAATTTTTTAATTAGAATACCAATCAATTGGTTAATAACACCTGAAGGCAAACTAGACAAATTTTATTTTTGTTCACCTTCTTCCTGAAGTTCCTTTTCCTCCACCACAAAAACAGTAATCCAATACTGCCCACACATCCAGACTATATCTGGAGTCTGCCTCAGTAAACACGAGACAAAGACAAATCTGAGATTATTCTGAGGAGAGTAACCAGGTTAAGGAAGAGAAATAAAGAGAACTAGGTGTCCAAATCCTGTCTTGAAATACTTGAAATGTTAAAATGTAAGAGAGAAATTTGACTCTACTTGCAAAGCACAAGGCATAGCTAGGTGATAATGAATAGAAATTACATACATGTATATTATATACTATAGTATAGTATATATTATATTATAGATTATAATATAGACTATATAATATATATAAAGTAATAAAATGATAAGTATAATATTAAATATAATATATGCCATATATTATAATATATTCTATATAATCCTATATTATAGATTATATATCATATGCACCATTGATCTCATCGTTGAGGACAATTTTAAAATAGATGCCAGAAGGGTAGTGAATCTTCAGCTGGTGCCCTAGTTCTGGGAACACTGAGGTGCTGTCTGTCCCTGAAATTTTACGATTATATGATTTGGATGAATAGCCCAAGGACAGATGACTGGAGGAGATCAACACAAGCCCCTTTCACAGAAAGCTGTACATGACAAAAGTCCCGGGATGTTTGTTGTGTTTCTGCTGTGCATCGTCTTTCTGGTCTGCTCAAATAAGGGTAAGTCATGGAGACATGGGGAGAGCTGGGTGTTGATTAAGAGATGGGCAGATGCTGAGGAAGAGAAATTTCCACAACTGGCTCTTTGGGAGTTGGCAGATGTATATGAGATTATGACAAAGGTTATTTTTCTTCCCCCCCCCCAGGTGAATTTAAGGACCATCTGACAGGTACAATTACGTCTTGTCCACGATCTTTAGCAAACAGATCATTTGTGATGTGTTTAGGAAAAAACCTCCTCTCATTTTTCAGATTGAGGATTATTCTATAATCCTAGGAGTTATATCTTCTCACAGACCAAGTTAGTCCATTTCTTGGAGTAAGGAAGCTGAAATCTCCTTTGCTTTCCTTCCTTTCCCCATTACTGGACAAAATCATTAGGTTAAATAACTGGTTCTTTACTTGGGTCCATAGATAAATTTTATAGGAACTCTGATCTTTCAAAATCATACACAACAGGGGCGCCTGGGTGGCTTAGTCGGTTGAGCGTCCGACTTTCGCTCAGGTCACAATCTCACGGTTCGTGGGTTCGAGCCCCGCATCGGGCTCTGTGCTGACTGCCAGCTCGGAGCCTGGAGCCTGTTTCAGTCTGTGACTCCATCTCTCTCTGACCCTCCCCTGCTCGCGCTGTCTCTCTCTCTCTCCTAGAAATAAATAAAAATATTAAAAAAAAATCATACACAACAATTGATTTATGTCTGTTTAAGTTGTCATTCACAAGATTATCAAAGGAGTCAATGGCCAGAGAAAGATTAGGAACCACCAGGCAATGGTAAGTTCCCGTAGAGAAACCCACAAGCTTGGAGAATCTTCTTCAGACTATATCTGTTAAATACCTCTTTCTGTGTCTGCCAGAATCTGCAGTAACATGTTATAAATGTCAAAAATATCATCTTGGGTTATGCTATGACATCATGAAGATTTGCATCCTAAAGGACCAACAGTCCTGTGCTGTTGAGAACTATTACTTCCTTACGAAAAAAGGTAATGTGGAGTAGAGTGGCTGAGAAATAGCAACCTGTAAATGGGTGAGTGGATGGGTAAAGATGGGGTGGTCATTTCGAGGGGATGGCAAAGATGGATTTTTCCTTAAGACAATATTGGGTAAAGGAGACGTTGATGTCTCCTATCAGTTGGGGAAATACAAACCATTCTCTGGGTCAAACAGTAGATTCAGCCTCGTAGCTCACTGGAGCTCAGTGAAAGGTTAGTGAGGCTCTGTAGAGAAAATATTCCTGGGAATATGATAGGAGGAAGTGGGGTCATTACAATTGTGTTCTCTCTCTTTCATCTCTTTAGGGCGAAGCTTGTATTATTATTCCAGACTCTCATGTGTGAGCAACTGTGAGGACATCAACCTCTTGAGTTTTGAAAAAAGAACAGAGCTCATCTGTTGCAAACATGCTAACTATTGCAACCTCCCTGAGGGAGTTTAGTTCTGCGTCTATCCTGGATTTGGGGTCACTCTTCAACTAACCATCCCCTTTAACTCTTCCCCCAAACTTGTATTTTGCTTTCCTCTTCCAACCACTGGTAGAGAGTGAGAAAGCCAGCTAGTGAAGGTCACAAGGAGAGAGTGAAGAGTAGTTGAGTCTCATTAATGAGGGAGGACTAAGCTAGACTGAAATTTTGCAAATCCCTGTTGCTCACATTTGGAAGTTTGGATTTCCTTATGATGCAAATAGGGGTGCTACAAATAAGGTTGGGTTTGGAACTGATTACTTATTATCTCCTGTATGGTAATGCAAAGAATTGGGTCAAAATAATCCCAAACTTGTACCAAGAACTTTATGGCCATACTTTATGCTCATTTATATCCATTCCTCTGGTTGGAATTGAGATTCTCTTTGGATTAGCCCTGACAGCTCCTGGTGCTCTCCTTTTGCCCATGGGTTCTGGAGATAAAAGAGAAATAGGCCTGGCTTCCCAATTTGTTGGGAACATGAGCCGTATCTTTCTTTGGTAGAGAGCTCTTAGAGGAGGGAAATTTTAGGCAGACAGAAAACTAGACACGCATAGGGATGAGGCATCAGAGAAAGAGCATTTTAGTTTGTGGAAACTAAGATTTGAGAGACAATTTGGTGTGAGTGAAATTGGTGTAAATTATCAGGGCCCTGGCTGGCCAGATGACCAGCTAGCACCAGATTGGAAAAGGTGATTTAATTGGGAATGGAGACCTTGTGCAAGGATGGCCAGTCAGTTTCTCCTTATAAAAACGAGGAAAGGGATGCCTAGGTGGCTCAGTCAGTTAAGCACCTGACTCTTGATTTCAGCTCAGGTCACGGACTTGCTGTTTGTGAGTTTGAGACCTGAGTCAAGCTCTGTGCTAACAGCATGGATCCTGCTTGGGATTCTCTCTCCTCCCTCTCTCTCTGTGCCCCCCCCCCCCCACTTATGCTCTCTTTCTCTCTCTCAAAATAAATAAATAAACTTTAAAAAAAGAATGAGGAAAAAATAGAATAATAGACATGGAGGAGGGCACTTGTGGGGATGGGGTGTTATATGGAAACCAACTTGACAATAAACTATTTATAAAACAAACAAAAAAAGTGAACTGCAGTTAATAAAAAAAAAAAAGAACAAGTGGCATGGTAGTTGAAGATAACTGAATGAACAGAGATGCCATGAAGTAGTGTTGTAGTTACAAAATGTCCTATATAAAATGACATTATGAGTAAACTGACAGCATGGGATAGCAGAAGATAATAGTGGTGGGAAAAGAAGCAGGCAGACAGGGTGAAACAAATAGGCAGAGAGAAATGGAGTAGCATTGATAGTGGAATGTGGCCAAAGTGGTGACGCTTTCTCGGATACAGAATAACCCTGGCATTTCTCTCCTTAGGAGGCCTAAGGTCCTGGATTTACATGAGCTTTTTTCTCCTTCATTGGGCCTTATAAAATTCTTATTAAACCAACCACCCCTCTCCTTGAGTAGTTGGATGCATTCTGTCTGTGTCTGAGAATATGATCCTTTCTGAGGAATTCTCAGTTGGGATTTTACAGAGCCAGGATGATGAAAGACATGAAGAGAACCTTTTCAAAAGGACAGACTGAAAAAGCCAATATAAAATGGCTATTTTGAGTTAGGGAAAGAACATATTTTTATTCCTAGCTGTTTAGGGGCTTGCTCACCCATTGAATCATGGGGATGGGAGACATCAGTCTAAGGGAGATAAAAAAGAGAGACAATGTTTTGCATTGGACTTTAAAAATATTTGCAAATTGATGTTTGGACAAAGCTTGGCTTTGTGAAACAAGAAGAGGGTTCTAGTTATAAAACCTTTCCTGGATGGCCTTAGAGCAAATGTTGGCATTCTCAGTATCAGAGCATTGATTTTTTTTTTTAAAGGTAGTAAATGATTTTCATTTGGTTTTGGTGCCGAACCCAAATCCTCTTAGCTCCTCAGTGCTTCTGCCACTCAGCTGCACTGAGTGTTGGCTTATGACAACTGATAGCTATTTACTCTGCAGATTTGCACTCTGCCAAATAGGAGCTGCTTTGCCCAGATGCTAAGCTCCCAACTTGAGCGTAGACCATAGCCAATAAATGGCAGACTTATTGCATCAAGATGGCACGAAGTCTGTGGTGCAATTTGTGCTCCAGAGCTTCTCTAGGAGATCTGACTAAAGCCAGTCTCCAGCTAAGAGCATGTTCTTGTTAACATTTGCCCCCTGGCCCCCCTTGCTTCTGTTTTACTCCCTTGACTCATAAGAAGACTATGTAGTTTCCACCATCACTGGGAATGACGCTCCAAAACAAGAAGTTAGGTTAGAAAATGAAGTTACATGTTGGTACTTATGAATGACAGTGTGTATAGGGTATAAATTGGACTCCTCCTCATGAATGAGAAGAATCTTTCTTACTGGGCTTCCTAGATAAAAGTGCTCCAAGCTTGGATATTACCTTTTGGTTTACCCCATGTTAGGATATTCATCTTAGTTCCATTTTCCTACTTGAACAAATGAACACAGTAAGACCTACATGAATATTTCTATATCCACATGATACCACCCCAAGTATCAATCCTCTGATATGCACATGCCCTTTTTCTTAATATATGCATGTAGTTATGCAGGTGATTTTTCTGTTAAAAGACAGTAATTTGTCTACTAATCTAAGTGTTAACTTAGGAGTTAATTGGAGTATACTGGCAATTCATACAACCTTACACGTTAGACCAAAATAAATGTCACATGTCTTAAAGACTTAAACATAATAAACAAAAGACCTAGACTCCTGGGTGGCTCAGTGGGTTGAGCAAGCCTGGCCAGGCTCCACTTTTTGATTGGAAAGTAGCAAAGTTGTAGACGAGCCTATGATATGAGAGATATTGTGGCAGCCATCTTTGAAAATTACAATTTGTTACAGATAGTTAGTGGCACAGTTGGAATTGGATCCAATATCTACACAATCCCAAAGCACTTTCCTTTTCTAAACTCACTGTTATATTAGCAATATTTATATAATCTAGTATGGAGGAAGTTTTTGAATCATAACATCAATCACAAGCAGGATAAGATTGATAGATTTGACCACATACAAAAGTGGGGGGGGGTTCTGTGTGTGTGTGTGCGCACGCACATGTGCATGCATGCATGCACATATACATCAAAAGGCCAATCAGGAACAATTGGCAACACCAAGATCCCACAATTCCTTAAATTGACATGGTGAAGCTTTATCAATCATATATAATATATAATATACAATGGATTATTATTCAGCCACAGAAAAGAAATAAACCTTGCCATTTACAACAACATAGATGGAACTTGAGGGCATTGTGCTAAATGAAATAAGTCAGACAGAGAAAGACAAATACCATATGATCTCACTTATATGTGGAATCTAAAAACAAAAGCAAACAGTAAAACAATAAAACAAGTTCATAAATACAGAGAACAAGAAAACAGATTGGTAGTTGCCAGAGTTGGAGGGTAGGGGATCGATGAAATGAGTGAAGGGAGTCAAAAGATACAAATTTCAGTTATAAAATAAATAAGGGATCTAATGTACAGCATGGTGACTAGTTAATAATACCGTTTTGTATATTTGACATGCTAAGACAGTTAATCTCAAAGGTTCCCATGACAAAAAAATTTGTAAGTGTGTATGGTGATAGATATTAATTAGACTTCTTGTGGTGATCATTTTGCAATATATACAAATATAAAATCACAGTGTTTTTACACCTGAATGTACACCTAATATTTTTATGTCAGTTATATCTCAATTTTTAAAATATCACAAGGAAATAATTTTAATTTGAGAGAAAGAGTGAAACAAGATAAAAAATAATACATCTGAAGAAGCAAGCTTTGTGGCAGTGTTGGTAATAAAAGTCAAAAGTTAGAAACAATCAGGATTGCCTAAATCAAGTATGATGCATTGATATACTGAAATATGATACATCCATAGAACTGATATAATATCAATACAAACATATGGATTTGAAAACATGTTAGAATATTTCAGTAAAATAGGGTTTTTTTTTAAGTAGTGCAGTTTAGTTTGATCCCATTTTCACCTAAAATCTATTATCTACCTCTCTATCAAACAACTTTTTTATTCATCAAATTTTAATAGTGAAAAATTGTGGTATTTTAATATCTAGTCTTAAGCATTGAGTGATATGCTTTTCTGGCATAAGTTTATTTTCTTTTCCTATAGAAGTAAAGCCATGGAAAAAGTTTCAGTGAATCAATATAAAAAGACCTTGCAACAACCCAGATGTTGGAATTAACAAAGAATTTAAAAGTCAGATTATAAATATTCTCAAGAATTTATAGAAGAAAAAAGACATGAGGGAATCTCAACAGAGAGGTGCAAAATACGATTAAGAACCATTTGACAAAAAATCTTCAGACAATAGTAAAGTTGTAAGTAATTTATATTTTTGCCTTTTTTCCTTTTTGACTTTTATTTTTTTAAATGAATGTAAAATTATTTTTAATAGCTTAAAAATGGAATGGAAAACATAAATAACTTAAATAGGATAACACTGGGGGTGCCTGAGTGGCTTAGTTGGTTAAGCATCTGACTCTCAATTTCAGTTCAGGTCGTGATTTCACAGTTTTTGAGACTGAGCCCCACATGGAGCTCTGTGCTGACCGGAGGAAATCTGCTTGGGATTCTCTCTTTCCCTCTCTCCCTCCTCCTTCCCACCCCTCTCAAAACAAATGAATAAACCTAAAAAAATAAATCAGACAACACTATATTCAGTAAATCAGACACATCAAAGTAGAATATCAGTTAACTTTCTTTTCAGTTATGATACTGCTGGCAATTTGCTAGGCTAGGTAGAAACAGATAACAAGATCATCACTCATGTTGCCTGCATAGCAAAGATACTGATAAAAGAACAGTCAATAATACAAACCCATGATCTACCAGAATTTTTGCTCAATTCCATTTATCATTATATAAGTATATAAA